GATGCATGGCGCTCCGGCGGCCCCGGGGTGCTGGGCCGGCGAGGAGCGGGCCTGGCTGTGAGCACAAATAAAAGGAGACGGAAATTCCTGCAGGTTTTAAGTGTTTGCGTCGTCCGCGGGGATTTCAGAGCTGTGGGTTTGCAGTGCGGGTACATCCAGCACTGATGCCGCGACTCCTTGTAGCTGTGTGTGTGTGTTTGGTCTGTGCACTCATCTTGGGTTCAGGAGCTTCTGGGACCTCACTGCCAGGCTTGCATTTTGAAAGAAACCAACTTATTCTGGCAATACTGGGATACAGTTGGGGTTTTATTTCCTGATTAGTGTGTTTTCTTCTCCAGTACGACCTGTCAGCTTCCACGTTCTCCCCCGATGGCAGAGTATTCCAAGTTGAATATGCTATGAAAGCTGTGGAGAATAGTAGGTAAGATACAAAGATCTGCATCTCTCTCTGTGGATGGGCCTTTTTTAAAGCAGTGTCATTGGGCTGGGCAATCCTGTTGGCACTGCAGACAAAATTCTGTGGTTAAGATGAGTTCTGAGCAACTGTATCCCTAGGTTCATTTTAGGAGGCTTGAAATGAAGTGTAAAAGTAGTATCATCACTTTAGTTTGCTACAAATGGCTTTTCAGGCTTGGTAGGAATCACTTTTTCTTGCTGGAAGCAGATGTGTTGTGGAGAAAGGCAGTAAATCTACTCATGTATGTTAAAGGCAATGAAAATGTGATGCTTTGGGGTAAATTCTGATTGCAGGTCTCATTAATATGTGTAAGGAGCTTAGCTGTTGTGTGGTAGCAGAACCTAAATGCCCATTTTATGGGTGTGGCTTTAGGCACTGAAAGAGCCAACGTGATCAGGGCCTCCTACATTTATAATAATGTCACATGCAGTCCTCAGGGAACTGGGGACACCTGAGTTCTGCTAAAGCTACAGCCTGTTCTCTGTGAGTGTCTGTCTTCCCTTGGGTATATGTGCAAAGGCAGGCCGTGAAGTCAGATCCCAGCTCTGCTCTGGTGACAGCAAGATGGTGTATTAGCAAGGCATGGGCTGGATCACCCCAGTGTCTGATTGTAGCCACAGGCTAGTTCCAGCCCCTCTGCTGTGGGCAGGGACACCTCCCACCAGCCCAGGTTACTCCAAGCCCCATCCAACCTGCCCTTCAACACTGCCAGGGATGGGGCAGACAC